ACAACAATGAATAAATACTCTTCCTAAGAAGTAGTATAAACATGACATAAAGGCATGACATCTGATCTAACATTAGAAACATCAAACAAATCAACACTTTACTCCCCATTTTTAGCCAAAAATTGACAAAAAAAAATAGGGTAAATGTAAATAAACATAAATGGAAGCACAAATACTACTACTCCCCCTTTTTAGCCAGAATATTGACAAACTAAGCAGTCATTCATCGAAGCAGAAGAGAGGTAGATCAAACTCAGAAGTAACAACCTTCTACCAAGTAAACATACTAAGCACACTACTATACCAGTAATCTAGACCATCTACATTGAACATGTTAGTAGACTGATCCTTCTTCATTTCACCACTCTCTTACTTATCTTTTTTGTTAGACATATCTTTCTCCTCTTCAACAGACATAATATTATCATCCGAATCATCTCTTTTACTACCAACAAAATCATCTTCAACCACATTCTCTTGGGATTTTTCAGGAGTCTCACTATGAAAATTTTCTTGTGTGGTTCCAACAAGATGATCAGGTTGGGCCAAGGATGGTGTGTCATCCGGTACAACATCAGACTCAAGGTTAGTAACCAAGATCTTAGAGAGAGAGACATATGAACACTTGTATCAATAGTGTTATTAATATCAACATTCAAATTAGAAGTATCAACACCATTAGGTTTCCACTTCTTTCTATCCTTACTCATCACATGATTAGCCCTAGGTTGTGTTAGACGCTTTCGATAACCATACAGTCTGTAACAGTAAGACTTTATATGACCATATTGACCATAATAATGACATTTCCAAGGCTAGAACTTGGCTTTAGTATGAGTTTTTTTTATGTCTGGCAGGATGTTGCAACATTTGATCAGATATCGTGAGCTCATGCTTTACTTCAACAAGAATAAACTTTGTCACACGGGTTTTCTTTGATTAATTAAAGACTGGTAGTTAAACCCTATACTAGTAAATATTTTACCTCCTTTTCTAACTTGAAGAATCTTATCCAACACATCAGATCCATTATTCAACATTCTCACAAATTTGGTCATGTCTTCAAGTTTAGAATTTAATAAGGTTACCTCATCTTGAAGACCATTGATAGTAGATAAAAAATTCTCTTTTTAAGCCTGCAGTTGAGCTATGATTCTCTTATGCATTTATCGTATCATACACACCTCTTCACTTTTGACACAAAGCTCTCTGTATGAAATAACCAATTCTTCATAAGAGACATTATGATCACATGAATCATCATCAGATTCATATCTTCCAGTAAGGGCTGCAACATGCTTAGCAGTTTCAACATCAGGTTCACTTCCAGAATCATCATCAGACCCAAAAATAGACATGCCCTTCTTTTGTTCTTGAGGTACGTGGGACATTCTGATCTAATGTGAGCAAAACCCTCACATTCATAACACCGACTATCTTTTCCTTGATTGGGCTTCTCCTCTGTTCTTGCTTTTCTTTGAAAATCACTGTTCTTCCTGATGTTGAATGACATGTTATTGACACCTGGTCTTGACTTTCTATCCATACTCTTCAACACCTTATTGAATTGCCTCCCAAGAAGCACAATATCATTAGAAATTCCTTCATCGGCCTCCATGTCACATTGAACCCCTTCATCATTAGTGTTAGAGATAAAAGTTATGCTCTTGTTCTTCTTTTCAGATCTTTCATTGGTGCCAATTCAAAAGTTTGAAGTGACCCAACAAGCTCTTCCACTTTCATGTTTCTCATGTCTTAGGCTTCTTAAATCATAGTGACCTTCATGTCAAACTTCTTAGGCAACGACCTAAGAATCTTTCTAACCAACTTCTCCTCTGACATCTTCTCTCCCAAGGCATTAGATGTATTGGCAATATCAAGAATATTCATGTGAAAATCATAAATGGACTCGTCATCTTTCATCATGAGATTCTCAAATTTGGTGGTGAGAAGTTGAAGTCTTGACATCTTTACTTTTGATGTGCCTTCATGAGTGATTCTAAGGATTTCCCATGCATCTTTGGCCACTGTACATGTATTTATCAGACTGAAAATATTGTTATCAACTCCATTGAATAAGGCATTCAAGGCTTTGGAGTTTCCAAGAGTAAGATTATCTTCTTCCCTATACTAGTCCTCTTCTGACTTCAATTTAGCTGTGTCCTTCCCATCTTCACCCTTCACAGCAGGGTGTTTTCAACCTTTGATAACTGCTTTCCAGGTTTTGTTATTCATAGCTTTTAAAAAAGTCACCATACGCGTCTTCTAGTGATCATAGTTAATGTCATCCAAAATAAGCGGTCTGTTGACAAATCCTAATTCCATGTCTCTAGTACCAGAAAGCATCTCCCTGGAGCTCACCCAAAACAAAATAGGGTGCCTACTCTGATGCCAATTAAAATTCTGGCACATAGTGGGCAGATGCCGAATATGATGTCAGGACGTCGTAACAGCATAATTAACAACAACTTGATCACACAAGTAAAAAATGCAGAAAAATAAATGACAAAAAAAGTAAAATTAACACCAGAATTGTTAACCCAGTTCGATGTAACTCACCTATATCTGGGTGCTACCAAATCAGGAAGGAAATTCACTAATATTATTAGTTCAAAGTTAAACTCCCCCGTTTATAACTTATCACCTAATCACTACCCGTGCAACTTCTACTTAGAAATCACCATCTAGATATGAGAATCTCCTCTCACTTCCTAATCACCTCAGTGATATCAAACAATCTCAATCTCAATGACTATATAAATTACAAATAATAGAAGTAACAACACACTTCCAAGACAATGCTTAATCTTGCCTAAAAGTTTCAATCAAGAATAATACACTCTTACTTAAAAGCTTTAGAATTGACAATGAATAATGAACAACCAGTCAAACTCAATGCATCAAAAGATACATGAGTGACATACAATTAACAAACAGAAAACTCTAGGGACCAACCAAAACAACAACTAATCCTAATTCTCTAAATTCTTCATGATATGATCTCTTATTCCAATAGGATTTTTCTTCTCTTTAAGTAGCTTTCAAATCTACTAGACTTGGACTTCTTGAGGCGTACAAATAGCAGCAATCAGTATAAACTGGCTGCAAATCAACCTGCATAATAATAGGAGAAAAATATAAATTTTCCTAAAATGTCTCAAGGATCCTTTTTATAAAAAGTAACAGAATCTCCAATGACATAAATTCCCACAATATACTCCTATAAAAGTCATCCACGTGTGCATTAGAACACACTCAAAAATCACACTAAAATTACTAAAATAGTCATGCCCTAACTATCTGGTATAACATGTCCTGAAACATGTCACAACATCATGTAGAATATGATGTCTGACTGACATGGCAGAACATTTGGTTCAACATCTTACTAACAACAACATCATATAGAATATGATGTTTAACTGACATGGCAAAACATCTGGTTTAATATCTTACCAAAATGCAGCCAATAAAAAAACCACAAGACTTACATATATTCTTCAGTTGCCTAAAGTAAAAATTGTTGCAGTAGATTTAGCCTACATTGTATGAGGTTTCACCACCACTATACATGTAGTGTATCTTCTAAGTAAACTTTCTTAAATGTTGATGATTGGGTTAGTTATACTTTTTTGCATGGGTAATTCGAGTTCCATAATAAATGGAGTTTCATGATTTGAATATGTATCTTTTATGGTAGTCTTTTTTATCTTGTTAATGGTTTAAGAATGAAAACCTTCGAGAATTGTCATGTTGATGAAAGTTTGCGTCTTAAGAGTGTATCCCTTTTAATGTCTCAGATTCGAATGCTCCTAGGTTTTAACAACTCCTTTATTGAGTCAGGTTATATAGAGTTTTGTTATGCTTTTAAATGAAACTTCCGCAAATAAGTCGTGTGATTGATCTCCCTAAAATTAGTCCGTTCTAAAATTAAATGTCTGAGTTTAAAAAAAATTAAAACTGAAGAAAGTTAACATTCATATATATTTTAATCAACACGACTAGCTTGTAGACCAAGATCTCTAACTTTTGGAAAAAAAGGTTAAAGTAACTTTAAGCAATTTTTGTATAAAATAAAGGATATAATAGTGTTAGTTTTGGATGAAAAAATATGTGAGAAAAAGTAAATCAAGTGAGATATAATGAAAAAAAAAATTAAAGAACGTGAAAGTTAGGGAATCCCTGCTTGCTTCCTTTATTTTTCTTTTAGTGATTGAAAAGGTGGGAAGGTCCCTACCCTCTTGTGAATAGTGGTGTGAAGCTATGTTTTTGTATTGACTCATTAATTTGGTCAAATATTGAGGAAAGTCAAGTAATGCCAAAAATGGGAAACAAGCCTTCACGTATATACCTAAAAAGGATATAATATAACAGACTCGTTTCTGGCCGTTATTAAAAGAGACAAAGTTTACTCCCTCATTTAATAACATTCATATTGAATTAAATTTTACTGTATGATTTTATTAGATTAAAAAATTATTATTATTTAGTTTAATTATATTAAAAATATAGAGGGAGTAGTATAATTATTTAGTATATTAAAAATTAACTATCGTCACATGTTCCTTAATTTTGAATAAGCAAATATTATAATAAGTAATTGACATAAATAAGCAACACTGTTTCACATGTTCCTTAATGCAGAATGTGTGAATAAAAAAAGTGTGTTGAAACAGTATTGTTGAAAAGAACCTTGTCAAAGTTGATTAGGTTAATATTTTAAATTGACAGAAATACCCCTGACAAACTTCTAGGAAACAAGGAAGTAATTACATTCTTTTTTTTTTCCTTCTTGATAATCAAAAGCTAATAATTCTCTGTTCCCTTGCTGTCATCTAACAAAGGTTCATCAAATTTCTTTTCCTCTTTCCTTGAAACTCCTCATCTTATATATCTATATAAACACTTCAATGCTCATTCATCGATCTCATCAAACAAAAATCTCACATTCTACATTGTTCAAATTATTTTTCTTTTCATTTTTTGATATTATTAAGGTTATGGCAGGAATTGATTTTGAGGATTTGTTACCGGTAATCGCGAATAAGCTAGGTGGTGAAGGCTTAATGAAGGAACTAAGTAATGGGTTTGAGTTACTTATGGACAAAGAGAAAGGTGTGATAACTTTGGAGAGTTTAAGGAAAAACTCAGCATTGATGGGTTTGGAGGATTTGAAGGAAGATGAAGTTGTGAGCATGATGAGACAAGGTGATGTTGACGGCGATGGTGTACTCAGTGAGATGGAGTTTTGTGTTTTGATGTTTAGATTAAGTCCTCGGTTAATGGAGGAATCATGGTCTTTGCTCGAACAGGCACTGCAACATGAACTCAACAATCAGGATTCGTAACCATTCTTCTTAAATATGTGTCCTTAAACCATTGTTAACTTTCATGATGCTATTGACTATTGATTTTTTTTTTTTTAATTTTTTATTTTTACAAATGGAATTGGTTAGAAGTGAATTACATACGTGTACTACAAGTTACAGTCATTCATCCTAATGAACAGAGATTTGGATATGTTTTGACTATGTTTATTTTTGCATTCCTGATTTTCGTATAATTGATTTCTGTTAAAGTAAATTAGTTTATATTTGGATATATTCTTTGGAACAAAATTATTTTCGAGAAACATGGTAGAAGAAGAGAGAAAAGAGAAAACTTATAAATTATATTTGGTAAAATTGAAAATTCTTATTGAATGTTCTTTTATTTATATCATATCATACTTTTTATATAAGTAATTAAAATTCAAATTCAAAACTATATAAATTTACTCATATCTAAAATATATAAGTTATATTTTGGTTTCGACATAATGGTTTAAATGTTGTATCGACTCTATCGAATACAACTGACTAATATACCTTTGACTAGCTACTTCGACATAGTCGAATGCTAGCTTTCAACAGAACATCGAATTACAACTTATAACATACACCCTAATTCATGTTCTCGAGACTTCTCATCTTGATGCTTCTCTTTAACTTGTCGAACATGACTTTTTTCAGAGGTTTGGTAAGTATGTCGGCTAGTTGCCATTCTGTCATGCAATGCTCAAGTTCAAACTTTCCTTTGTTAACTTGTCCTTAAAAAAATGCTATCTCTTTTCTATGTGCTTACTTCGACCATGAAACACTAGATGATTTGTCAGGTCGATAGCTGAGTTATTGTCGACAAACAACTACATTTTCTTAGGTTGCATTATCTTAAGCTCTTCTAGGAATGTCTATATTCATGTTGTTTGACATGTCGCATATGATGCAACCGCATACTCAGATTCACATGATAACAAAGCCATAATGCTTTGTTTCCTTAAGCTCCATGAGATTGGAGTATATTCGATCATGAATATGTAGTCTGTAGTACTCTTCTTCTCGTCTTGATCTTCACTAAAATCTAAATTAGTGTAGCCATATACCTCTGCATCTGTGTTGGCCTTATTTTTCCTCGGCATCAGCACAGCGTGACCAACCATACATTTGATGTATCTCATCCTTCTCTTGACTGCAGTGAGATGACTTTCTTGGAGTTTCTTCATAAATTCGCTTAACAGTCCGACACTTTGATAGATATCTAGTCTGGTATTACAAAGATACCTTAAGGATCCAATGATTTGTTTGTACAATGTTGCACTCACAAACTCATCATTTGTCTCCTTCCTCAACTTTCCCCCAATTTTTAATGGCGTAACATCTATATTCCAGTTGCTCATCTTGAACCTCTTCAAGATTTCTCGGACATACTTCTTCTAGTGCAAGAACATTCATTCACCTGCGTCTCTGAACTCCATCCCTAAGAAATATGACAAATTCTTTAAGTCGTAGATTTCAAACTCCCGCATCATCTTTGACTTGACTTTCCTTATCTCTGTTTCATCTGCACCTGTAATCAACAAGTCATCTACGTACATGCATAAGATGATTCGACTGACCTTGTATGCATCATTGACATACATGCCATGTTTATAGACAAACTTTGTGAAACCTACTTTGATCATAAAGCTATATATTCTCTTATTCCAAGCTTTTAGGGTTTTTCTTAAACCATAGAGAGCCTTCCTATATCTGTACACCTTCTAATCCTACCATTTGATTTAGAATCCTGGTGGTTAACTAACATAGACTTATTCATCCAAAGGTCTATTCAGAAATGTTGACTTTACATCAAACTAATGTATCTTCCACCTTTTGTATGTTATCATCAATATAATAATTCTGATTGTCTCTAGCCTTGCAATAGGTGCGTAGACTTCGTCAAAAAATCAGTACCAGGTTGTTGCATAAAACCTCTCGCTACTAGTATTGCCTCATGCTTGGCAATTTCACTGTTTGGTCTTCATTTCAGCTTGTAAACCTGTAGCACCCCAAAATTTTCCCTTTCGTTTTAACCGTAACTGGCTTTTGTTTCTCTGCATTTTGCATTTCTGCATATCATAGCATTGGTTCTCGAGACATGGGATCAAGGCATTTTTGTGGCTTAGGGTTCCCTTTTTAGTGAAAGAGTCTAAACAGCGAGCGTTAGAGGCTCCGACATTTATTTTGCCCAGTAATCGAGCGGTCAATTTTATTTTATTCAGCAGGTTATTTTCAGCCCGGGAGACGGTGTACAGGCTATCTCAGGCGTTCTCAAAGTTATGATATTCAAGAGCAAGTTTTAGAGGCATAACAGGGTTCAGAACAAGTGGCAATGGGCAATTGTACAGGATTCCCTCCATTTGGCGCCACAAGTGGCAAATTTTGAATGTGGTAACTGGTTACTGCATATAGGGTAACCGGTTACTTCAAATGCAGTTTGCGAAGAAATTCAAATTTTCAGCGTGTGCAATTTCCAATCATTCTCAACCATTGATTTCACTTGATCATATTTGGAAGGATCTAGAATTGTTTCAGTTTTCACCATTTCCCTCCAAATTTCAAACACTCCATTCCTAATTTCACTCCTAATTTCCATTCCAAATGCTAATCCCCATTCCAAACCATATTTTGATTCCATACCTAGAGCTTATTTAAATGAATTTGCTCCAAACCTCACACAATTAACCTTCATTTTCAGATTTCACTCTCATTCTTGAGAATTTGCTCTCAATTTTCTCTCCATTTTTTCACTCCCAAAACCTCCACTAAAGCTCTTTCACTTGAGTTCTTTGATTCTTGATTGGAGTCATAGAATCCTAGAGCTAAACCTCCATTATTCATCTTTGTTATCCTCAATTCACCATTCAATTTTTGTTTGGTTTTGGATATGAATTTGGAAGCTAGATTGGAAGTGCTTTTGTGGATTATTTTGCTTGATCTTGCTTGTTCTTCATTTCTACCACAAGGAAACTCTTGGATCTTGAATAATCTCTGGTTTTCTTGCTTGGATCTTCTAATTTCAAGTGAATCAACACATACCAAAACAAATCTCAGCTTTGAAGGTTGGTGAATTCTAGATCTAATCCAATTTTGAGCTTATTTGAATAATCACAATGTAGATCCATGGCTTTTGTTGCTTTTTGGTCCATTTTGATGATTTGGATCTTGGTGATTTGTGATTTCAGTGTTTGATTGTGTTTACATGATGTTTGATCGCTGTCTCTTGATGATAATTTCGTGGTTGATTGATATCATGTTCATATGGATGATTGGATAAGCTGTTGGATGCTGAAAACTGATTTTAAAAGTTGTTTTTCTAGTTCTGGTTCAGTGGTAACCGGTTATCTTATATAGAGTAACTGGTTACTCATTGAAAATTTCACATTTTCAGTTATTTTTCAATAAAGTAACCGGTTACCTTATATTGAGTAACCGATTACCAATGAGGCAGAATGTGATTTTCTTGCATTTTCTTGTTTGTTTGAGTTTCTTTTCACATGCAAACTTCATGGATTAATATGATTGCAATTTATGTTAATTATTTTGGACATATTTCATCGTTCTTGAATGTTTGATCTCGATTCTTTGACGCGTAACTTTTGGTTTCCGTTTTGAATGTTTAACATGTTCATGCGATTTGATTGATGAATGATCATTTGCTTTGCTTGCTTGTGGCATGATTAATTAATGATTATTGATGATTGTGTTGCTAAATATTGTGATGCATGATTGCATTTGTTTCCGATTCCGCTTTGATGCGTGTTCATTTGATCGTTTGATCATCCATTTTTGGAAATGCATACTTGATCTAGTCACTTCTTGTTGATGCAATGTTGTTGATCATTTATGATTGTTTGTCGAAGCATGTTCATACTTGTAAGATGTCAATCCATGATTGTTGTTTGAATTTGTTTGATTGCATTCAAACATGTTTGCTGCCCTGTTTTCCACAGCTGTTCTTGCTTCAGACTTGTATGCTGTCTTTGCCTTGCTTGCTTGCTGCTTGGCTTTTCACACCTGTTTTTGTGCTGAATCATGTGTTGTTATATGATGTCTTACTCGTATGCTGGATTTTACTGCTGTCTTGTGCAGGAGGTGTTGTTGTAGCTGTTGTTTTAGCCTTATTTTCTTGTTTTGCTTTGTCTTTGCATGCTCCCTTAGGGCTCTTATTCCAATTTAATTTTCGATTAAATTTGGAGTAGGATAGACGTTAGGAGTTTAACCCATGCATGATAACAAGTAGGCTAGTCCCTATTAACATTAACCCTAGGTCCATCTCTTGCATGCTAACATTAGGATAGAATCTCCTTTCGCATCCTAACTTTATGACCACTTTGTATGACAAAGTTAAGGCCGATTTTCCCTTAGAGCTTTCGTGCGTCTCTCTTCTCATCTCAAAACACATTCTAACTCATTTAATAAATACGATGGATGTTGTACGCTAAGAGCCTTAAGCACATGGGAAATGATGAGTGGGGAGTTTCTCCTCACTTATCTAGAGTGTTTAGTGTATGCCCTTTGGGGGACATGTGACGCATTCGCTTCTATGTCATAGTATTTAGTGCAACGTGAATCTTAAATAAACTAATTCACTTCACTAAAAGTCACAAATAAAAACTCAAAACTTTTATCCTTCGGGATCATTGTTTCAAACTTCATTTTCAGAAAAGAGTACGTTACTTTTCCGTTCTACCGCAAACAGGCATCGTCCCTAACTGCTGAAATGAGAGTTTAACGTCACTCATAAAAAGCGCTTAACCTACCTGTGGTTTAGTTACCCGAACAACGTTTGCTCTGATTTCTCCTACCATATGAGGATACTTAGGCACAAGACGGCGATGCCTTGGCGAGCAACCTTCCCCCCATTCACCCGTAGTTTTCCGAACTACGTTGACTTTGACTTTTCTATTGCATGAGGGAATACGTAGGCATAGGGTGGCGATGTTCTATCGAGTCTCTTTCTTTTTCTTTTGTTCTCGTTTCCGTTTAGC